CAACCAGAAAAGCAAAATGAAAAAAGAATCCGAAAATACGAAGATAGTGTAAGGAGCCTCTGGGACAGCTTCAAGTGTACCAACATCAGAATTATAGGGGTGCCAGAAGATGAGAGAGAGCAAGATATTGAAAACCTATTTGAAGAAATAATGACAGAAAACTTCCCCCACCTGGTGAAAGAAATAGACTTACAGGTCCAGGAAGCGCAGAGTACCCCAAACAAAAGGAATCCAAAGAGGACCACACCAAGACACATCATAATTAAAATGCCAAGAGCAAAAGACAAAGAGAGAATCTTAAAAGCAGCAAGAGAAAGAGACTCAGTTACCTACAAGGGAATACCCATACGACTGGCAGCTGATTTCTCAACAGAAACTTTGCAGGCCAGAAGGGAGTGGCAAGAACTATTCAAAGTGATGAATACCAAGAACCTACAACCAAGATTACTTTATCCAGCAAAGCTATCGTTCAGAATTGAAGGTCAGATAAAGAGCTTCACAGATAAGGAAAGCTAAAGGAGTTCATCACCACCAAACCAGTATTATATGAAATGCTGAAAGGTATCCTTTAAGAAGAGGAAGAAGAAGAAAAAAGTAAAGATACAAATTATGAACAACAAATATGCATCTATCAACAAGTGAATCTAAGAATCAAGTGAATAAATAATCTGATGTACAGAATGAACTGGTGATTATAATAGAATCAGGGACATAGAAAGGGAATGGACTGACTATTCTTGGGGGGGAAAGGGGTGTGGGAGATGCGGGAAGAGACTGGACAAAAATCGAGCACCTATGGATGAGGACAGTGGGTGGGGAGTGAGGGCGGAGGGTGGGGCGGGAACTGGGAGGAGGGGAGTTATGGGGGGGAAAAAGAGGAACAAATGTAATAATCTGAACAATAAAGATTTAATTAAAAAAAAAAGCATATCATTTTGAGTGAGTTCAAAAGTTTTAAAACTCAGAAACCTTGGGATGTATGCAAATTTATAAATGGGTAGAAAAATACCTTTACCAAGTAAGCATTTTCACAATATATGCCTTGCATGTGTGTAGGAAACTTGTTTTAGTCCCTATTTAATGGATTTAAAAATTGGGTATGATCAGGGTTGTCCACTATATGGACAGAAATCAACATATCCTAAGTCTCAGTCAGGTGTCAATCCATTTTTAGGACTAATAAACAATTTGAAAATGTTCTTGTCAGAGAAACTATGTTGGTGGGTCTTTGTGACCATTTCTAATACTTATCTTTATATTTAAAATTTTTTATATATGGAACTAAAGAATAACTCCCTATAAATAAGGCTTAAGTTATTGGGTCCATGGGTACAGTTCATTTTTCTGCTAGAATAACAAGGAGTTCACCCAACTATTCTACTCAGAAAGTAGCAGAGGCTTGTATACTGAAATTCAATAGTAAATACAGATAACAAGAAACTTCCTTTATTTTACCAGTGCTAATAAAAAGTGGCTCCCAAGTTTCATAAAGTTCTACTGTTGTTTTTTTTTTTTGTTTCAGTGACTCATCTAGGTGGACAGGATCAAATGATTTAAAGTTAGCCAACAAGACCTAGAATTTAAGTTGGAAACTCTTCAAATGCATATTTTAAAGAATACAGTAAATAAATAATTGACACACAAAACAAAGATGCTTAATAATTATGCAAATGAAAATTTAAAAAAGAATAAAACGTAAGTTAAATGTAAATTAAAAAAGAACCACTTCTTAAACTATGATCCTCATGAAAGACAAACATAAAGGGAAGCAGCGGAAAGGGGATAGTTATGTTTGGCATTTGTTCCTTTAACATACTAAAAATAACTTTACTTCTATTTTACGTACCAAGTTTTGAAAGCTGAATTCAAACTGCAGCTTAGATTAATGGAACAAAAACACCACTGCTCCAATAACGGTCTAAGAAAAGTTAATAGAGTTTTCCAAAGTATATAAGTTACTTCTTGGGAATACTTGCACACCAGGGGAAAAAAAACTACTCCTACAGAAGAAATATATTATGCATTTCGACTGTGCACTCATGTTTTTAATCATTATGTTCTCAGTGCACTTCTCTAAACATTGTGATAGCCTATAACAAGCATGTCAAACTCATGGCCCACAATGAATATTTTTGCGGCCCAGCCAATATAACGGTATGTAAGAAACGTTTTAATAAAAATTTCATGACTTAATTTTTACAATATCCTGTTATAGATAATTACTAATAACAAACTACAACATTCGCTAATGACTGATTACTATAATCATGTTGCATTCATTTTCCTTACACACAGGCGCACCATTTTTCTCCACTAACACTAGCAGTGAATATTTTAGCAGCCTATTGCCACGTCATTAGTCTTGGACTGACTTTTTTGGTGTGCACAACAGGAAATATTTCACTTTCAGAGAACAAGAAAAATAGGTTTATTTGCGTTACGTTTATTAATTTGTGTTAATCAGTTTTGTGCAGTTATTCAGTGTCTGGTAAGTTAATGTTCAAGAAAAAATATTAATTTTTATTAAAATGTTCTATTATTTTATGTTAACAATTACTCATTTATTTCAGCCCTTTGTATTCAGCATGTCTCTATTGAAATAAACCTACGTTTCTATGAAAATTGAAGCTTTTGTTTTTTTGTGGCCCACAAAAAGTTAAACCTTGTTTATTTGGCCCGTGTTAGCCTTTGAGTTTGACATGCTTGTCCTATAACATGGATTCAATCACAGGCTCTTTTGGACTAGAATCAGTGATGTTTTTGATGACAATTTGGCCATGTGATATGCTTTGGTACAGACTTTTGAGCAACAGCTTCCTCGAAGGACAAACAAACAGGTTAGATGCATAACAAGGCTAATTCTTTTATACCCAAAGCTGCTATCACTCCATGACTAGTTTCTTCCATTTATCTTTCTAAATCATTCTCCCACTTAGCACTTTTCCCACTTACTCAGGTGTCCAAGCCTGAACGAAGTTGAAGAAAAATGAAGCAAAATGAACAACTGGCCAATGATTTCTTAATGCAATTCAGATACCTGTGTTTTATGGTCAAATTTAAATTATTTAGGCACTAGCTATTCATTTTGCAGGTTACCCAGACTGTTCTTTCTGTTTATCTTATTCATAGTTAGGACATTTTCTTTTAAAAAATGATTCTATGACAGGGCAAGGAAAACAGAAATAACTGACCTTATAACAAAGACTGCCATTTATTATTAGTTTGAGTGTAATAGACAAGCCATTTGATGAAAGAAAACTATTATTATTATGGATAATTTTAACTCAGGTTTAAAACTTGTGTCTTTTGGATATGATGTAACCCCAGGAAACATTCTGTTTAACTTGTAAGTGCTAAAAAAGCAAATGTAATTCAACATTTAAAAATCAGGTGTCACGGGAAAAGCTAGATTTTTCAGCTTACCGCTCTCCCCCAAATGAAAAGATTTGGTAGCGTTTGACCCAATTGCTCTACAGAAACTGGCTAGAGAAGAGGGTAGTGGTTTTACCCTTTCAATGGGACAAGAGCCACAGTCTCTGCCATTTGCTATCATCTCCAACACTAAGGTCAAATGTCAGTAGTCATGTGCTATCGACGTTTATCTTTTTTTTTTTCCAATTGTTGAGAATATTTCTTTAAACCCATGACTACTAAGTAAAAAAAATAAAAAAATATGCCTAAAATGCCTTATGTTTCTAAAACACATGAAAGTAAAGAAAAATATTGCATGGTCAATATACAAATAAAATGTCTCTGTCACAGACTCCAATTTAAAATGGCATTATGAAATAAACCACAGAAAGACCTGATTTCTATTTTAGGAAGTTACTAGAATTTTAACATCTGACATACAAAGTAATTCATATAAAATAAATGAATTTTGTGACATTTAAAAGTATAGTGAAGCCTTCATGCCACCCTTTTTATGTGCATTTGATTAACAACCACATAGGCTATAAAGTACTTATTAAATTTCTCAAATTAGACATCTGCAACTGTTCTAAACTTTATTTTTATGCTAGATTTTATTTAAAATTTTTGTTATTCTTACAACTAAATCTAGTATCTAGATAAAATAACTTTACTTATAAAGATAGTGTTTATGGTTGGTTGGTTGTTTGTGTTTTTTTTTTTTTTTTTTTTTTTTTTACAGTGTTTGTTTTAAAGCTACTCCTGGTATTAATATGAAGGAATAAATATGAAGGTATTTTTTTAAAAAACCTCACCCAGCCCTGACCGCTTTGGCTCAGTGGATAGAGCGTCGGCCTGCGGACTGAAGGGTCCCGGGTTCGATTCCGGTCAAGGGCATGTACCTTGGTTGTGGGCATATCCCCAGTACGGGGTGTGCAGGAGGCAGCTGATCGATGTTTCTTTCTCATCGATGTTTCTAACTCTCTATCCTTCTCCCTTCCTCTCTATAAAAAATCAATAAAATATATTTTTAAAAAATCTTCACCTGAGGATATGGCTTTATTAAGTTTGGAGATAGGGAGAGAAAGGGAGGGAGAGGGAGAGAGAGGGAGGGAGAGGGAGGGAGAGGGAGAGGGAGAGAGGGAGAGAGGGAGAGGGAGACATCAGTTGCCTCCCATACACTCCCTGACCAGGGATCAAACTCGAAACCTAAACCTAGGTATGTGCCCTGACCAGGAATCAAACCTGCCACCTTTTAAGATATGGGACAATGTTCATACACCAAATGAGTCACCTGGACAGGGAAAAGCTATTTTAATAATTTATTTTTAAAATGCTCATAGCAAGAAATCTTAAACCATACCATTGTGTGTGTTTTTTTTGAGTTCCTTCAATTACTAGTGTCATTTAATACATTAGACCATTCTGTGTTTTTCAAATACTGTAATTTTGTTAACTATTTACTAATTTTACATGTCACTTATGAATTCTTTGTTCATAATGTTTCTAAATATTTTTGTTTTTTGCTATAGTAATGTTGATTTTTAATTTTTCCCCCCGAGATAAAGCAAGTTTTCAATTTTGTTTACCATTCTCATTGCTATAGTTCATCAGCATGCCACAAAAGACAGTCAAGAGCTTCTCATTGGCGGGATCTGTTATACTGCACAGTGACCTTAAATGGTCAATTACAATCTGTGCACCACCTGCTTGGTCAACTGCACTTCTGCCCTCATCTGTAAAACAAAGAGTTAAATTTAAAATAAAATAAAAAAGAAATGTACCTTACAGTTTCAAATATAAAACATAACAGTGCTATTCCTTATTTAATGAGTAAATAAAAAATAAACCTAAGAAGGGCATTAAGTGTCTTTTTGGAAATACAAAACAAAACAAATAAACATGGAAATGCGGGTGGGATGGGGAAAAGAGATAATCACTTTCTAAAAGAAGAAAAGATTATTTGCATTGGCGTAATATAGGAGCTTAAAGAACTTCTCTATGTTTTAGGAGTTTATAACTATAACATGAAATTTTCCCCCTCTTTCACAAATGACAATTCTGCATAAGGAGTAAAAAAATAAAACTAATATTCTTTTGGAAATTTTTTCTCAACTTGAAAATCACTAAATATATCTTTCTATCAGTGGTTCTCAAAGTTATATATTATCAAAGAAAACTGTCTATGGCATAGTATAATTTTAGATCACAATATATAATGCCTAAATATTAGGACTAGAGTCTTTTTAATGACATTTTCTATAGTGCATAAGCATGTTCCTTTTTTTTAATTCTTGGTAGTTTGTGCGCCTCACTTTTCCTTTTTCTCTCCAATCTAGAACACACCAATATAGTTCAACATTACAACAAATGGTCAAATGATGGTCAAACATACATTATGTTATATACAACATGTCATTTAACTATTGGAACATAGAGTTTTAGAATACTTTCTAACCTTGGAACATAAGAAAGAAGATGAAAAAAAAAGTCTTTCTAAATCTGACTTCCTGATATAAAAGATGGTAGACTCTAGGAAACGTGTTGTCCAAGAGTTTTGACAGCCATAAATATAAGCCACATACATAAATTTAATAGTAGCCACATTAAAAACGTAAAGAGAAACAGGTTAAAAATTCATTTTAGCTATATATTTCATTCAATTCAATATATCTAGATTATGATCATCCCAACATGCAATCAACCTACAAATTATTAATGAAATATTTTACATTCTCTTCTTTGTAATAAATCTTTGAAATACATGTGTATTTTGCACTTACATTTACATGTCAATTCAGACTAGCCACATTTTAATTGCTCAAAGACACTAATCTGGCTAGTGGCTAGTTACAGTGGATAATGCAGCTAGAGAAGCATCAAGAAAGGATCAGTAAAAGAAATGGCTCACAAAGGAAATATATCTATAAAGTTAGTACATAAAAAACTTTCATTTTTCTAATGAAAGAACTGAAACTGAGGTCCTATATATTGTTTCACTGTCCAATAATATTATCTATATATATAAAAGCCAAAGCGACTATTATGACCTAATGACCGGTCGCTATGATGCTCACTGACCACCACGGGGCAGATGCTCAATGCAGGAGCTGCCCCCTGGTGGTCAGTGCGCTCCCACAGCCAACCTCCTGTGGCTGACAAACCTCCTGCGGTCCCTGCCCCTGGCCGGATGGCTTTCTGAGTGTCCTCTTTCAAAAAGATTCTATTTAGTTCCTGTGACCATTTTTTGGTTGCTTATTTTCCTTTTGATGAGTTGTATGAGTTCCCTGTAAATGCTAGAGATTAAACCCATATCAGAGATAACATTGGCAAATATGTTCTCCCATGCAGTGGGTTTTCTTGTTGTTTTGTTGATGGTTTCTTTTGCTGTGCAGAAGCTTTTTATTTTGATGTAATCCCATTTGTTTATTTTCTTAGTCTCTCTTGCCCTAGGATCTGTCTGTAAAGATATTGCTATGACATATGTCTGCAATTTTGCTGCCTATGAAGTCTTGTAGGATTTTTATGGTCTTACATTCAAGTACTTTAGCCATTTTGAGTTTGTGTATGGTGTAAGTTGGTGGTCTAGTTTCATTCTTTTTGCATGTATCTGACCAAATTTCCCAGCACCATTTATTAGAGGCTATTTTGATTCCATTGTATGTTCTTGCCTCCTTTGTCAAATATTAATTGAGTATAATGACTTGGGTCAATTTCTGGGTCCTCTATTCTGTTCCATTGCTCTATGTCTGTTCTTGTGCCAGTACCAGGCAGTTTTGAGAACCGTGGCTTAGTAATATAGTTTGATGTCTAGTATTCTGATCCCTCCAACTGTTCTTCTTTCTCAGGATAGCTGTGGCTATTCTGGGTATTTTTTATTCCAGATGAATTTTTGGAGAGTTTTTTCTAGATCTTTGAAATATGCCATTGGTATTTTAATAGGTATTGCATTGCATCTATAGATTGCTTTAGGGAGTATGGACATTTTAATGAGGTTGATTCTACCAATCCATGAACATAGTATGTTCTTCCATTTTTTTTATGTCTTGCTCTATCTCTTTTTTCAATGTCCTGTATTTTTCCGAGTATAGGTCTTTTACGTCCTTGGTTAAATTTATTCCTAGGTATCTTAATTTTTTTGTGCAATGGTAAATGGGATTATTTTTTTCATTTCTCTTTCTGTGAGTTCATTATTGGTGTATAAAAAGGCCATAAATTTCTAGGTGTTAATTTTGTATCCTGCTACATTGCCAAATTCATTTATTAGGTCTAATAGTTTTTTATGAAGTCTTTGGGGTTTTCTATGTATAATATCATGTTGTCTGCAAATAAGGACAGTTTCATTTCTTCTTTTCCAATTTGGATGCCTTTTATTTTTTCTTCTTGTCGGATCGCTATGGCTAGTACTTCTAGTACTATGTTGAACAGGAGTGGTGAAAAGTGGGCATCCTTGTCTTGTTCCTGTTCTTAAGGGAAATGGATTTAGTTTTTGCCCATTGAGTATGTTGTTGGCTGTAGGTTTGTCATATAAGGCTTTTATTATGTTGAGGTATGATCCCTCTATTCCCACTTTGCTGAGAGTTTTTATCAAGAAAGGGTGTTGGATTTTGTCAAATGATTTTTCTGCATTGATTGATATGATAAGGGTTTAATCTCCAAAATTTACAGGGAACTCATACAACTTAACAAAAGGAAGATAAACGATCCAATCAAAAAATGGGCAAAGGACCTAAATAGATACTTTTTGAAAGAGGACATACAGAAGGCTGAGAGACATATG